TTTTGACAAATATATACAGTCATGAATCTACTCCCACTATCAAGACAAAAAGCATTTCATCACCATAGTAATTCCCTCCCTCAACCCAAGCCTCTTGTATTCACTGATCTTTTTCCTGTCCTGATTTTTTTTTGCCTTTTCCAGGATAGCATATTGAAAAAAACGCACAATGTGTAGCCTTTTGAGTCTGGCTTATTTCACTTGGCATAAGGCATTTGAGAATTGTTATGCTGTTGCATATTATCAGCAGTTTATTTCTTTTTATTGCTGAAGTATGTATATACCACAGTTTGTTGATACCCAGATGATGGACATTTGAGTTGTTTCCAGGTTTTGGCAATTATGAATAAAATCCTATGAATATTCACATGCTTTTGTACAGACATAAATTTTCATTTCGCTTCAGTAGATAGCTAAGAGTGGAACAGCTAGTTTATGTGGTAAGTATACGTGTAACTTTATAAGAAACTGCCAAAGTTTTTCCACAGTTGCTGTACCATTTGCATTTCCACTAGCAACGTCTGAGTGTTCTACCCACTTGAGAGCCTCGCCAGTGTTGTCACTGGGTTGTTTTTTTTTTTTTTTTCCAGATCTTCTTCTAAGATGTGTAGTGGTATCTCGTGGTTTTAATTTGCATTTCCTTAATGAATAATGTTGAGCATGTTTTTCTATATCATATAAATCTTAAGAGATGTCCTAACAATAAAACGCAAACAATTACTTTCCTATGGAGTGAACTAGTGGGGAGAGAGGAACTAGAGTAAAACAGAGCACAAAATTTTTTAAATTTCTGTTACATGTACATGAGGCTACTGGGAGGACCTATCAGATGATATAGATGAGAATGTTTTGAAATATGTAAATGACTATCATAAATCTAATTGCTACTAAGTGTTAGAAAGTTATATAGATAAAAAAAAAACTGCACAGGGGCCTCTAGCTCCCTTGGATGGGAGATGAATAAAACGTCGTAGTCTGACCCACCCTACCAACAGTGCCTATCTCTATGATTTTGGAGTTGTCCTGAATTAAGCTAGTTTTTAGTGTTAGAGACAAAGTCTAGTTTTCAAGCACAAACGTCACTTTTCTCTTCATAGCCAACATAATCAATGAGTTTCAGCATTCCAACAATGACAAGGGGTGGATTTATTATTTTAGAATGAGAAGCTGGCCAACCTCTGAACTGGTTCTTCCTCCTGTGACTGACAACTCACACCTAAACAAGTATTCAGACTTCCAAAACTAAAAAGAAAAAACTTCTCCCCTCGTCCTTTAAGAGCTTCTATCCATAAGTGATAAATGAATTAAATTTTACTGAACTAATAAGTATTCTGGTGGAGGAATTTAAAAAGCCCACAAAACAAAAGCAAAACCACCTGCCCAAGAGTCCTCAGAATATCTGAACAGACAGGGTAACAATGATTGATTAAAAACAACCTAGGGTGGGTCCAGATGAAAGTAAATCCTAGGACTGTGCTACGTATCCACATTCCAAAGTGATAAACCAACAGGCAAAAATACCAATACTTTGGAGTGCTGTCTTAGTCAAGAGTATTATTTTATATCTAAAGGGAAAGCTTACCTTTCTTTCTTTCAATAGCTTCTTGTAGCCATTTGATCCAAGTGATAACAAAGTAATAAGGACATCTAAAGAAGGCGAAGCTGAAGCTCTTCCTGAAATCAAGATGATAAGGTACATTCAGAAGGGGAAAAGCTTTGTGAGCTAACATTTATTATAGTAGCCTATGTACAAATGGATTTTTATTTGTTAGTTACTTTTTCTGAAGGGCAACTGATTTATTTACCTGGATACATCTTGCTGATTTCCTGAATGAAGGAATCATTAAAGCCAGCAATTATAGCGCCACCTACTGGAACCATAAAATTTTTGTCCAAGCTCTGAACGAAAGCATCTATTCTACCAACCCGAGCCCCCTAGAATGGAATAACACGGAGTATCACATATTAATTTCTAGAAGAAGAGACAAGTGCCATTAATAAATACCACTAAAACAACACACAGAAATCAAAAGCAGACCAAAGATTTTTATTTTCTTTGTAACAATGCCAATAAAATTTTAAGCATTAAACTGTGTTTTTAAATGCTGCTTCTTATGTGTGGAAGAGCACTTTATATTTATAGTTTACAAGCTGTTTTCATACATAAATCACTTAATCTTTACAACAAGCCTGTAAGGAAGGGAGGGTTTCAGTATCAGTTCAGTTGGGGAACTACACTGAAACAGAACTTTCCATCTTAAAATTGGGTAAGAGAGAGAGGATTCCTGCCATGCTTTTCATCTGTGATCTTCAATCTGACAATAAATGTCAACAGTGGGTCTTACAACTATGAAGTAACTTTAAGCACCCTCCCTCTGTGAGGTCAAGAGTGGCCCCATAATCTAATGGACTACAGCCACCCACGCCGCCCATCAATAAGTTATACATTTAAGCGTCTCTCGCTGATGCCTGGATAACCTACTACCTGCATGACCACTTTAAGCAACAAGCTCTGCTCCCACCACCACTCGGACAACAAAAGGAGAAAAGAAAAATTTTATTTTTCACATCAACTAATGGAATTTTTGGTGCACTCTTGGCAATGTTTCTACATAACTTATGCTTCCTAATGTTATCATCTTGGATGATTTCATTTCACTGAAAATGAACTTCAAGTGAAAATCCAATATTCTGGTGAAAAATGGAGTACTTACTAGAAACGTAAAATTAAGTTCTAGTCCCATGAAACACAGTCTATGACCTTCTGCCTAATGTGCTTCAATTTCCTCCTCTTAAAAATTGAGATACTATCTAAATTTCAATGCAGATCGTTTTTTTTCTTTATCTGTAGCCACAGATTTTCAATCTGTGTTCACAATCTACATTCCTATTAATATTGTAACCACATTTGACCTTCATCTTTATACTTTAAATCCACATCCATATCTCAGGGAGAATAGAAGGAGCAGATAGGTGGCCTAATCTAAGAGACCAGATCCGGGCAATACGTGGAAGCAGCAAAAGCCGGAAAGGGGCGCAAGCTACTCTGGAGGCTATCGCATGACTGTTTAAATCTTAACCTTCCCCTGTGATTCTCCTTTCTAATTTCCTCATAAACTATGCTCAGAGAAAATCTCATCTTATCACAGGAAAACAGAGAGAAGCATACGAAACTAATTGAATAAATAACCGAAAACCATGCAAAGTAGTAGCAGGTAAAAATAAAGTAGAACAGTTAGAGCTGCCTTTTTATTAATATTTCAGTACTGCCCAAGGCTTCCTGAGAGAAATCTGAAGCTAGACTGGGAGCAGAAGTACTAAGAGTGCACCAGACTTTGCTAGAACCCCTTCATCACTAAAAGACAGAAAGCATTCAAAGGGTAGCAAACTCTGGGGCAAGAAAACAAGCAGGCTGGACCCAATCTCAGGAACGGTGTAGCCCTCAATCCCCCACTGAAGTCTGAGGCTATCAATGAGGAGAGAAGAAAACACTAGAAGGCTGGAAGGGCTTAAGCAGAATAGGAAACACAGGAGCACGAAGCCATTTATCAGTTCATTCATTTACTCATTTACTCAAGGAACAAATATGTGGGCACCTATCATCTGCCAAACATTGTTCTAGGTTCTGGGCCTAGCAGCAATGAATAAAACAGATCATTGTCCTTATAATAATCACAGCCAGAATTTACCGAGAACTTACTATGCATCAGGCACTGTTCTAAGCACTTTACACTCTTAACTCATTTAAGCCTCGCAATGACTGTCCAGGCAGATGCCATGATAATAGCTATTTTACAGATGAAATAATTAGGTCACGATAAAATTAAAGTGACCTGCCCAAGGTCAGAAATGTAGTTAACAGCACAGCTAGGATTCAAATCCAGGCTGTTAAAGCATTTTGCTGACAGTCACCCAGGCAAAAACCTAGGTAATCTGGATGAAGAGTCCATGTTTAAAAAATAAAATATTCTGACAGCATTTCCACCCTTCCAACAACTCAGGCCAAAAGTCTTAGAATCCCTGAATTCTCATTCTCTCATTCCTCACATCTGATTCATCAGCATACTCTGTAAGAGAGACTCTCAAAATACATCTGAATCCAATCATTTCTTTAACACCTTAACAGCTACCACCCTGGCCCAAGTCACCAACGCATTTCACATGAGCTGCTACAACAGCCTTCCACACTTGCCTTCCTATAGTCCATTTCCCCCAGAGCAGCCAGAAGGATGGTTTTTAAAATACAAGTCACATGTCACTCTCCTGCTCAAAACCCTCCAATGGCTGACAATCATACCAAGAATTAAGTCTCAAATCCTTAACACATCTCAAATCTCTTTACTACCTCTGCTGCCTTCATGTGTCCTGGCCCAGCCATACTGGCCTCCTTGCTATTCCTCACACATTCTAAACACTCTCTGGCCCCAGTGCCTTGGCACTTGCTGTTACCTTCTGTCTGGAATCTCTAATCACCTGGCTCACTTCTTTACCTCACTCAGGGCTCTAATCAAATGTTTCTTCTCAGAGAGGACTTCCTAGATCACTCCATCTGACCCCGCCCCCTGTAAACGCTAGAGCATTTATCAAGACCATCATCCTTATTGTTTACATCTACTTCTGCTCCATAAGGATAAAGATTTTGTTGTATTTACTACTGTATCCCCAGTGTCTACCCTGATGCCTGGTTCATCAGTGGGAACCCTAAAAATATTTGTAGAATAAACTAACAATCAGGTCTGTGAATATGTGGCATAACACCTACTTAATAAGCAAAGTTGCTGCTTCCCACACTTTGGGAACTTTACAATCCATTCTAACTCTAAAATAATTAATTCAAGGTATTTTTGTGACTCACTACAACTCTGTCTCTTAATGTGTCCTAATATCCATATTCTATGAGTCTCCTAAATTAGTCAGTTTAGTATATATCAGAAGTACAGATTTTACAAAGCTTATTTCCTGGGGACTATGTATGCATACCAGAATGTTCTATATGCTCAGCTCAAGTTACAGCTCTTTCTTCACTGACTGCTTGATTATTGCAATAGTATCTTCTCAAGAAAGCATTTGCAGTTTTAGGACTTTGTATTTTAGAGGAAAATAAGAGACTTTGGAGTCACAGTGAACTAGATGGGCCACTTTGCCGCTTGGGACTTTGGGTAAGTCACTTAATACTTCTGGGTTTGTTTCTTCATTTGTAGAATGGAAACAATAAAAAATACACCTTAAGCTGTTAGGATTAAGTCAGTTAATTTTAAAAGTCTAGCAGGATGGTTCACACATGGTGCGTATTCAGTAAATGATATGTATTACTAATAAGAACTACTGAGATGAATTAAAGCTAATTTTAATTTTTTAGAATGTCGTGAAACAGCAACTAGCACTGAATAAGACCCAAGTACTTATTTGGTTTACAGCAACAGGGATACCACCTCTTTTTGTGAGGGCCCATCATTATGTACTGCTTTTTTTCTTTTAAAGAAATGCCAGTTTTAGAAGGTAATACAGTATATGCAACAATGCAATAGCTACCTTATAAAAATTCATTCACTCAGTGTTATTTTCTAGTTAAAATTTTAGTAAAACCACCTCACAAATGAAGAGGTGAGTAGGGTATTCGTGATGCACAGTTCCACGGGCACCTTTCATACTGTATCCTGGAGTTAATTTTCACTTAGGCTTCATCTCTTCAATTACGCCACCAAAATTTCTAGTATTCAAAAATACCTCATGAGCACTAAAACAATGGGCACTATAGGTTAAATACAAAACACTGACTAAATGTTAAGGAACCATTAAACTGATCATTATGAAGACTTTACAGGCATGTGGAGAGTACAGAAATACAACTTAGTTTATATTTAAGTTTAAAAATTAAATGTTTTTCACTACATTTGAAAAAGTTAATACTAAATGTACACAATGCCTATAACCTTATAAAAAGAAATATATACATGTATTTTAAAGAGAAAAAAGAAGATACTTAAATTATTAAGTGTATTCGTTAGGGTAAGAGGCTTGTGAGTGATTTTCTGCTCTTTCCTCACTTTTCTAAACTTTTAGTAATACTGATATATTTGACTTTTAAAAGAATTAAGGCTGCTGAAAATTAAAGAAGAGGAGAAAGGAAAAGAGGAAAAAGGGGAGGAGAAATAAAAATCAATCACTGAAATAAAATGTTTTTCAAGATTTCCAGCATAGAGAGTTGTACAGCCTTCCTCTGCTACCATTCAAATCAGATACAATCTAGTCTATAATTATGATTAAGCCTTAAAAGTTAAGGAATAATGGAAAAGGATATCAAAGAAACAGTAAATAGTCTTACTCCAAAGATTTTAAGAAACCCAGGTGTACAACCACTCCACTTCAGGACTTCTTTTGTTATGTAAACTAATCTATCTCCTTATTGATTAAGCCAATTTGGGTTGGGTTTCTGTTACCTGCAGTCAATTACATTCTAACTAGTAGAATCTTTGGGGAAATAAGTCAGGCAAATCAGCTAACACTATCATATAAACATTTATATTAGAGATAATACTAGTACACTCAAAGCAACAACAACAAAATGATGAGATAGGATCTACAGGGCTAAGGAGTATTCACCACCACGTGGGAGAAGGCCACCAACAATCTGTGAATGACTCGTGCCCACCTAACAGAAATCACGTGTGTCAAAACTAAATATGTGACTACATCAGTATGCACACAGATCATAAAACACATATCATATCTAGATAGTATCTATCCACATCCTAATATAGTATGTTACTGATTGTAAGTAAATATAATACTTCATTTATTCATTCAATATTTTTAGTAACCAGTTATTGAGTATCCATTATGTACCAGGTACTGTCCTAAATATTGATGTAACAGTGAACAAAACAAAGTCCTTTGCCTAACAGAAACTTAACTCTAATCACTGCCAATAACTAGACAATAAACAAATATAAACACCATACCAAATGGTGGTAAGTGCTATGGAGAAAAAGAGCAAGAGGCCATCAATTTCAAGAAGCACCATTATTTTACACACCATTAGGTAAGAACAAACATTGCCAATTAACATTATAAGACACCACTAATTACAAGACACCACTAATTATAAGACATCACAATTTTAGAGATGCTATAATGTGGAAAAATGTGTACCTTAAAATTGATGAGTATGGCAAAACAGGGAAAACAGGACAGAAAATGCTGGCAAGGAAGAAGCAAATGTTATTTTAGATAAGGTGTCTGAGAAAGTCTCGACCTAAAGAAAGTGAGGTCAGAAGCCACACAACTCTACAGAAGAGCAACCCAGCAAGAGGGATGAGCAAGAGTGTGGTACATGCAGGCAGCACAAGAGGAAGACAGGAGGCACACGTGCCAGGAGGGACAGTGAGAGGGAAAGCAGCAGGAAACGAAATCAGAGAAGCTGCAGCCACCTGAGCACACAAAGTCTTGCGCGCCATGGCTGCGACTCATTCTGAGTGGGATGGGAAGCCCAGACATATTTTCAAAATAAGAGTCTAAATTGATGACTAGTATCTAGGTGATGCTTACAAAAATAAAATGAAAATAAAATCATAAAGTTTTTTAAAAATATGCTAACTCCATAGTTATACACTAGAATATCTATATATGAAGTCATTTCCAGTCTAGGATATAAAGTGATTCTTTAAATACTAAATATAGAACAAATAGTACAGTTTAAAAAAAAAAGTACCATAATCCACTGTATTAGAAAAAATGAGAATACTGGGAATGAAACATTCTCAGAAAATTAAAAAATAAGCTACTGAAGTATATGTTGGTTCTGACCAAAGCTATAGTCCAATTGCCACCACTAGCAAAGTATAATGACTTTTACAGAATGACTATTATATGTGTATTTCTAATGTTCCATGAGGTAGAGAGTGCTAGATTAACTGTACGTATTGTATTAGGCTGTAAGTAAAACAAATAATCCCACAATACGTTAGAATCCATTTTCTCGACATATCTTTTTAAACTCTCTCACCTGTTGAATGAGATGCATACACTTTGAAGACTGTACTCCATAAGCATTGTTGACTACATGTGGAATGTCATAATTAGCACAAATCACAGCCAGTTCCTCTAATCTATAAACATAAATATTCAATAGAAAGACATTCATACTGTGCTTTAATAAATTACAACATGAAAAGTTTTTTTAATTGAATAGTTCTCCTTTAAGTACACTAGGAAAAAAAATGACAAACTGAAATTTCTACAGCAGTATTTTAGCATGTAATTTGGTACCTTGGAAATACATAGCAGGCACTTAAGGATAAACCCAGAAGTTTTTAAATTAATGTTACCAATAAATAAGAAAATATGTTGTTTAAAAAATCTATATAGATAGTAGTTTTTTTTTTAAACAAAGGTACTGGGGATTGAACCTAGGACCTCGCGCATGCTAAGCATGTGCTCTACCACTGAGCTATACCCATCCACCTATAGCAGGCTTTTAAATCACCTTAAAAAATTCCTATATAAAAAGCAAGAAGCAGATTATTTATAAAGACCTCTTACAAGGTGATATGCTCATTTTTAAATGGTTTTAGTTGCGTACTATACTAAAGCTAGTATCTGTAAAATAATTAGCATATTTGAAATCTTAAGAAATCTTACATTAAGCATCTCATAAAGTAAAAAATACATTTCAAATAGACTTTAATGTATTAAAAAATACAGAACATTAAAATATTTCAGTACCAAAATAACATTTTCCAACAACTTGGAAACTAAAGAATCTTTTAAATAGCTGCTGGTTTTAAATTTACTCTTTTTCATTTGACACTCCTCATATTAAGACAACCTAAGAGTGTAACTTTATGCAAAGTAAGGTAATATGTTTCAATTGGAGTGTAATAAATGATGTTCCTTTGCAAAACCCAATCCTACTTGTGACTGAGGTCATCTCTAAACAGAAAAATCTTCATGCTATGAAGCTAAAACCAAATCCTAAGGTTTTGATAAAATTAATTTTTTTAAATGCTCCCTCTACAATATAAAAATTTTAGAAGTAAAGCATTTTTATGAATTAAAAGTTCTTTCCCACAAAAATGTATTTCAAATATATATTATATAGTTTTATTATCTACTTACACATAATTCATTTTTTTCATAGTACATGTGCATTAATATATTTTTAAACTACAAATAGGAATAACATTATTCTGCTTATCTGTCAGAAGTTTTCAGTTTACTTCCTTGAAGTTTTATGAATTAAAAACTCATTTTAGTATTCATTTTCATAAAACTCACAAATCAAGACAGAAAACTTCTCTGTTACTTAATCAGATATTGCTTTTAACAAAATAAGACCTTCTGGGATACACACAAGTATTTTCTTCATAAAAGGCATTTTCACACGCTGGTGTTCTAATGAAAGCATTCCTTAATAACAAACTTCCTTGAGAGTAAGGCATCATAATAAAAAAGTACTATTTTTTTTTAAATCACCTATGAGTAGTTTTAAATATTCTGAATTGATCAATTTGTTAATGTTTACAATGTGTATGAAGGTTTTTGATATAAGGTAAGGAGAAGTAGAAAAAATATTTTATATGTTAATCAAATTGTATTCTAACTTAGAAGCCAATTTAAGGTGTTTATCAATTTGAAGAAATGGTACCTTTTTTTCTTTAACATTTTCTCTAACTGATTTTGCCCCACAATATTCTGTCCAATTAATTAACTAATAAAGACAATATATACATATATACATACCCATTCAGTCTAATAAAATTAAGTCTATAAAGGAATTAAACTTCTTATAAAGAAATCAAAATATATTTTTAAATTTAATAAAATCAGAAATTCAAACATATTACTAATAATTGAGCATCATTACTTTCCTAAAGTTCACTCTAATCAGACACATTCATTATATGACACCACTAAGTAGTAGTAGATGAGAATTCTGACTGAAAAAATTTTTTTTATTTTTTTCAAAAGGAGATAATATATGTAAAACATACTTAACACTGTACCAGGCATACTGTAAACATTCCCCAAAAGTTAGTCAAAATGGAACAAAAACAAAAATACCTTCAAGGATTAATAATCTAACTAATACAAATATCCACATACGGTTTTTGGAAATGTGATCTATTCCCATGACATTAAAATTCTTCTAGACAGCAAAATCACCAATGAAGGAAGAATAAAGGTATTTATTTACTATTTCAATATAAATTAAAAACTTGATTGGTAAGTACTGAATAAACAACTAAAGCATATGCAACATAATCTGAAAATAGAATTCAGACTTATGGATGGAGCAAGGTAAATTTTCAAGACCATGGTTTTAAAACTGTCTCTTAATATTTACCTATATAAAAGCTAACATGCATTCATTACTACCAAATTGTAACCCCATGAATTAAAACTAAAGTATAACTTGATGCTACAAAAGTAGTCCAAATTCAATATAGTTTTATAAATTATTAACATTTTTGTTCAGAATGTTAAAATGAAACAGCTGCAGTCAAAACTAGAAAAATGTATTACTATACCTAAGCCTATTATATTTTTAAAATAAAAATCTGTGGCCATCCTTTAGAATAGCAAACATTTCCTTTTTTTCTTTTGGCTTTTATTTTCTTATTTGCATTTTTTCTCAAAATGTGTATTCCTAAGTGTATATCTGGGTTACTCTTCCAATTGAAGAAAATTCTAAGGGCAATAAATAATCCTAAAATTTTCTATTTAAAATCTGTTAATACTAATAGTTCCTGTGTATGAAAACTGCAGGATCAAAGAAGTGAAGACAGCAATAAAACAAGTACATAAAGCCAACATTTAGCTCAGAAACTTCTATTAAATAATGAGGGAAAAGATGCTAGGTGTCCAGAAACAGAAAAAAGAGCACAAAAACAGAGATGCTCTGCATTTACTCAGATGATAAAGGGATTTACACTTGGTACCAGGTGTTCTTCCTTCTTCTACATCAACTTTTTATTTTCCCAAGCCATTATGCTCTTTCCCCAACAGTCCGTTCACATAGCATTTACTGCCAAATGATACTTAGGCATCTTTGAGAATCAGCATAAGTGTATGCTATTTAAAAGACGGATAAACACTCAGGACAATATTCACAAATCATTTACCTATCAGGCACCCTTGGAGCAAAACAGGACGTAGTAGAGTGAACACAGAGAATGTAATCAGGCCCAAGTTCCTGGACTTTAGCCTCCACAGCTTTCAGGTCTGTGCGCAGCTCGTCACCTTCTAAAACGTTCTCTATCACCACAGGCTCAAAACCTAACCAGGCCAAACAGAAAGCAAAATGTTAGTACAAAGTAAAATAAGGGGAGATCCTGGAACTCTAGGAGGCAGTGCTAGTCTACACAAGAACTCTTAAATATTTATTTTGGTCAATGAACCCTCCTCTAATAGTAACGACCTGGCTTAATACTGGTATGACTCAAAGGCAGGTCAAAATACTGTGAAGGACACCTAGACCACAATTAGGACCACAAAGCTATTTAACACTTCGATGCGACAAGAAAGACTAATTTTGGGAAGTAGGGAAAACAAATGTTAAATAGATGCCAATAAAAATAACAACACAGTCACTGATGACAAAAAGGATCACATAGTCCAGTTCAACTTTAGTTCATAGAAAAGTAAATTTAATCATTCTCTGGCAACAGTTGTTTTATTTTAAAGTTTGTTTTATTTCAGAGATGGACACAAATAATAATGATAATTCAAATCACAATTGAAAAAGATCACAATCATCAACTGAATGTTTTACCTCTAAAGAAAAACATAATGAATTTTAGCAGACCCATCTCCTAGCTTACAGGAGCCTTCTATAATTTAAATATAAAAACTGTTTTGCACATAAAGTTATTACATAGTCACGTCTTCAGTCTTCCCAAATACCAGATCTAGCGGCAGGCTAGATTTGTGGATTTAAGAGCTATAAGGGATTTAGAAACCATTTAGTTCAACTCACTCATTTCAAAGATAAGGCAGCCATAGTTTAGGAAGATTAAGTGTCTTCCCCAAGGTCACACAGCAAGTTAAAGCAAAGTTAAGAGCAAGTAGTTTTCTCTTCTGTTTTAGAATCCACATCAAGTTGTCTGCATTCTGTTTACAGAAATAGAAAACTTCGGCCACCATAAAATCATCAGTTCAAATATGCTGGGCTGCAGAAGACTAGCTTTCATATCTACATAGCTATTAAAACAAACAATAATACAGTATTCCAATTCTGAGTGTAAATTGAAAAGAATTCAAAGCAGGGACTCAAATAGGTAATTTGTACACCCATGTTCATAGCAGAATTGTTCACAATAGCCCAAAGGTGAAAGCAACCCAAGTGCCCACCAGTGAATAAATGAATGAATAAACAAAATGTGGGATATAGATACAACAGGAGTCTTAAAAAAGGAAAGAAATTCTGATACATGCTATTACATGGATGAACCTTAAAGACATTCTGCTCAGTCAAATAAGCCAGTCACAAAAAGGCAAATATTCTGTAATTCCACCTACATGAAGGATCTACAGTAGCCGGATTCATAGAAATGGAAGGTAGAATGGTGACTGCTAGGGACAGGGGTAGTGAGGAGGGGAGAGCTATTGTTTAACTGAGTTTCAGTTTACGAGGACAAAAAAGTTCTGGAGGGAGATGGTCGTGATGGTTCACAACAAGACGAATGTACTTAAGGAACTATATATTTTAAACTGGTTAAAATGGTAAGTTTTGTTATGTAAATTTCACAATAAAAAGAGAGAATAGGAACAGGTTTAGTTTCTTTTTCATTTATCTATCTCTACATAAAAAGTTTGACTTTTCCAACTGTGATACTGAAGACATTATACATGCTACTTCTCTTCCTTTACCTGCAGTGATCATGGATTTAAAGCAGGACTTCTGGTCTATTCGTGGCCATATAATATACTTTGCCTTTGGTCTTTTGTGTCGTAATGTTAAGAAACACAGGGTCAGGCTCATGCCAGTTGCCATAGGAACCACAAAGCAGTTGGTCACTGTATGGACACCTACAAATATGAAGAAAAACAGAAATTAGTTATTCCATTGAAAAACCAGCATCCTTCGTAAAGAAATGATATACTTCTACCAAATAATGAGAGTTGCAGACTTAGTGCTTCTTCATCTGTACTGTGCTCAGAAAGCTCACCCATATATTCATTCTCCAGGTTTATGGCCCTGATTTTCTGTCTTATTCTAAAAGTTTTATATATATATACATATATATATCTTTTCAAAAGCCATTTATATCCCTTTGGGAAAGAGGCATTAATAATAGAAATTAGGCAAAGATTGTGTGGCTGGTCAGCCAAAAGTATTATGATTAACCCAGTACATACCAGCCAACTTTATGATGTCCAGGACCAAAGAATTGGTAATTTTGTTCAAAAGGCTAGAACCTGCAGCTTTTGGTTGCACAGCAGAAATATCGCCCGATCGTCCAATTCCATGAATGAACCTAGGCAAAAGATGGCCAACAACTGGACAAAAATTTTCAATATTCTAAGTACTGCACTATATAAGTATATAAATACAAAAACCAAATAAATAAGAGGCAATACTTGACTACTAGTAATATGAAAATATCCTAGCTAAATTGAAACAAATTCATCGACTATGATGTAGTAGCTAGCTCCAAAGGTGGCCATCATCAATTCCTTTTCTCCCTATGCCTATATGCCACTGCCACACCAAGAGATGTTGTGAAATTCCTCTCCTCTTGAAACTAGGCTGGCCTTAGTGACTTGCTTGGCCAGGAAGAATCTAACCTAAGTGACGGTCTGGAACTCGTAAGCTAGGTCATAAGAAGCCTTAAAGTATCTACTTGGCCTCTTGAAGGGTTTGCTCAGGGTGGGGGTGGGTGGGGTGCGGTGGGTTGTGTTCCTCTCTTCAAATCCAGTTGCCATCCTGGTAGAATCCCAAACCACTTGGAGAGGTCACCTGAGCTCCCAGCCATCTAAGTGACTCAACTTGGATAAAGTGCCCAGCTGAACCTTCAGATAACTAAACTCTCAGCTGACACCTGACTGCACATGAGAATGAAGCAATAATCACCCGCTGAGTCCAGGTAACCCACAGAACTATGAGAGAGAACAATGAAGACTGTTTTAAGCCACTAAGTTTTGAGGTGGTTTGTTATGCAGCTATAGAAAACCAGAATGTATGCAACATTATATTCTTTCTTTTCACTTCCCCAACCAGAGCAGTGAGCTAAGTCCCAACAAGATGAGGTCATGTTTCAAACACTGCCTTAATTTTAAGAGAACTACATGCTCCTTGAAAATTATGTACAAATCCACTCATTTTAAGTTTGATCATGTTATATACTACTTAAAGATACCTCTACATACACTTCAAAATCAAAAGCTTATCTCTTTATAGTTGAATAGATCAGAAATTCTGCACACTGGAATTACCACAGAACACTAGTGTCATACTCCATTACCACTGAAACATCATGTACAAAGCATTTTTTACATGTATTATCAACCATGTTATCAGCTCATTTTTAACCATGAAATTTTTATCCAAGTCATACACTCATTTTAGTTTTGACTGCAATGGTTTTGGTTGAAATAAAATTCTACTATACCGAGGAAAATTTCATCATGTTTAAAATCATGGAATACAGGAGTTTTAAAAAGTTCACCTGTATTTCACAGAAAGTTTGAAGAACAGAGAAATGATTATATTAGGAACTACTACTAATTAAGTGGTTCTCAGAATTGATGAAAAGCTTTCTGAAATAATGCAAAAGAAAAAAGCGACTTCATAATCTAAAATTAAATATACTTTTCCTACATCTATTATAACAAAGCAAGATACTTATTTTTTTAAACATTTTTTATTGATTTATAATCATTTTACAACGCTGTGTCAAATTCCAGTGTAGAGCACAACTTTTCAGTTATACATGAACATATATATATATATTCATTGCCACATTTTTTCCTCTGTGGGCTGCCATAAGATCTTGTGTATATTTCCCTGTGCCATACAGTATAATCTTGTTTATCTATTCTACAATTTTGAAATCCCGTCTGTCCCTTCCCAGCAAGACACTTATAAAATGCGATTCAGTTCAGATGCAGATGAACAATGTTGTAAAGGTCTATCCACATATCATTCTCTAAAAAAACTTACAGTATTAGGAAAGAAACATGGAAAACTATAAACAACCTTAAAAATCCTTTAAACTCATACAACCAAATAGGTTTACTAGGTTAAACATTCTTAACAGAATATAGCCAGTATAAACATTCTTAACAGAACACAATAGCCAGTATTGTAAACCACTCAGAACCTGACAGGGTAACCACCACATACTAGAACTTTTACCCTATCATCTTGAAAAGCACCTGGTCAGACTGTTCCCATCTTCCTATTGCATCTAGCTTACATGCCCATCTGAATAAGAAGTAGGTTACAATACAAATGGGCTTTTTATAATTTAACATGATTAATACTGCTACCATTGTTTCTACCATTAAAAAAAAGGAACATGAAAATGTTTTCTACCTAAAAAACATACCTGTAATGTCGCCGAGCTACTAGTGCAGATGCTACTCTCCCTTCCCTTTCTCCCACACCACAATTGCCCAGGAAATTGTTGCTATCCATGATTGCAAGTTCATGCAGAAAGAGTTCAAGTGTACTTTCATCCCAACCATCTTCTGGACACTTGCCCTTGAAAAAAATTTTTAAAAAAAGTACAGACATTTATATTTAAGAAAACCATCATTCCTAGAATCCCACTTCAACAAATTTTTAAATTCTTTAATGTGTATTTTGCCATGCCCCTTGTTTTCTAAAATTCAGACATAAATTCAGCACTATGAAGAAACTCTGAGTAGGCAAAATGTTTGTTACACTGTATTAGAATTATCTACAGCTGCTGCAGTAAGTGATAATAAATGCATACAATGAGATTTACAGTTAAAGGTTAAAGTGCAGTAAAAGTAACTGAAAACAAATAAACCCTATCTTCAAAGAGGGTTCTTCAAACCAGGGTGTTAGTATATCAAACTTTACTGACATTAAAATTCAGGACACTGGCAAGAACCAGACTTCCGAAGTTTCGCGGCAACACTCAGTTCCAGTTAGTATATCGTAGTTTACAGACATTATGTGTTCCCTAAGTCTTTGGGAGTAGTGAAAGATGGAAGATTCGAACTTTGCCCTGTAAGCAAACAAAAAAATAAACCAAGAGGGCCCAACCCCTCGCTTCCGCTTCCCCAAGTTAGAAAAAAGTAGGACTCAAAATCCCAACACCCCTCTCCCCGCAACACATCCCCTAGTAAGACTCTCTGGGTTTCGCCGGCAGTGGTGAGGCTGAGAGGAACTGAGCGCAGCAAGCCTGTATACGGCAAGCCAAGATGCGACAGACTCTGGGAACAGGGCTCAACCAGCAAATACAAGCGGGTGAAGCAGCACTTTGGCACTAACAGGGGCGCAGGGCGAAGCCGGAGTCCAGGGGGCGCGGCGTCTGAGAAGGGACCCGATAGCTCGGTACCTTCTCCAGAAGCAGCCGTATGAGGTGCTCGTGTGAGCGGCGGGCCTCACGGCCCTGCCGCACGTAAGCCGGCGTCACCAGCCGCTCGCCCGCCGCGAAGCTCTCGCGGTTCATGGCGGTGGCGACTGTGGCCACGGAAGGATCGGCACACGCGGGACACACGCCGGAACCAAGAGGCGACTCGTCGCCTGGACGGTACGGGAAAGCCTTGGGACAAAAATCTTCGTCTCGCTCTCGCACATGCGCGAACCGCCCTAAGTGGTGTGCCAGACGTGGTAGGATGTGAGCATGCGCAGGGCTATCCCTGCGTTTAGCCGGTACGGAAAATTAGCTCCGCCTCCGTAGCTCTGATTGGCCCAGTTAAACCCCAGTGTGCCTGAGACCTACTTGAAGGACTTTGCACCTGTGCGGAGGGGCTGAGGTGAGTCAGGGGCAAGTGCGTGGGCTTCTCGGAAGAAAGACCTTCCCAAGTTATAATGTGTTCCACTCCTGCCGAACAGTGAGATCTGCGTAGTGTCTGTGCTTCAGCCTTACTCAGACCGTGTTTCTCAGATTCCTGAACCTTCATACATCTCTTGCTGCAAGAGCTGATTTACAATTGACTGGCAACCCCGTGTGAAGTAGTGATGCCCCACTCCTTTTCTCCTTTGCACCACAGAATTTTTGGCCATAAAACTTATCACCCGCCTCCTAATATGACAGGGTTTTGTTTATACAAACACTCACACACTTATGAATGTAAAACTCTAAAAGTCAGAGCCGTGGTTTTTGCTGCCCTATGCCTAGAAAAGTGCCCAGAATATAGTAAGGACTTAAAATTTTCTTTGGATATTGAATTAATGAATTGTCTTTACCATTCAGCAACCTAGCACTAAGTGCCTGAGATGAAGAAATGAAAAGGCAGAATCCCTGCTTTTGAATTCCTTGCAGTCTTCAACTTAGGTGAGCCTACAGTGATTCCTGACATCACTCTTACCCAATGGAGTGCTAGAGCCCATACTTGCTGCGAGAGCTGATTGTTAAATACTCAGTAGTTTTTTGTGAGCTGGTTTTTAAAATACAGCTCTTCTTTAAAATAAATTATGTAAATTTACAATGAAGTCAGTTATATTAAAAGCAAAAGTAATAGATACTCCAACTTATTTCCTAATTATTTTACTATTATCTCTGCTTTTGAGATTGTCTACTTCTATTGTATCTTTATGATGGAAAGAAGATATAATGATGTCCTACTGCACATCTCTTTCCAATTCCCTTTTTCATGGCATTATGTTTGTAGCTTGAAACTGGCCATGGTGGGAGTATTTACACCATGGAAATTAGCCAACTCTACAAATCAGGCCCCAGCCTCCCCCCTGCCATCCCACTTATGACTCAATTGCTTAACATATACAGAGTCACCACTGTTCCTATTGCATGTTCCCAGGGCATCCTGCCATTTATCAGCCACGACACTTGTCACAAGTGATTAACTTTCTGTCTTCCTCAACTAGACTATGAGCTCCTGCTTGACAAGGGCTATATTTGATAACTGTGTTCAAAGCACAGCACTAAACAATATATAATAGATGCTCAACAGCTTCCCCTTGCCAACAGCCTCCAATCAAGCACACCTGAACCTTTCCCCTTTTTTACCATAAAGTTTTTCTCTCCCCTGCCTGCCTTTGAATCCGCCTAATGCAAGTAATGGTGACTAACTCTCTTACACTGGTAAGCTCTGAATAGTCTCTGTTTGTTACTTGGATGGTCTTCATTCATTTTCACAGTTTTCCTAGAGGCTCCATTGAGACAGGATCTGCACTATCCATCACTGCCAGCCTTCAGCCAGATGAGGTACTCACAGAGGCCCCGGTGCCTTGATGCCTGTGGCTGTCAAGTCTGTGCCAACATGGTAAGTCATTACTGAGTCTAAACCCCACTATCTTTATGTTGAATTCTTCAGCTGTTTATGTTTGGTACCCAGGTTTTGTTGTTGGTTCTCATTTGTTTGATATCCTTGGTGGAATCAGACTATTCCTTTTCACGTTTTTGGCTCTCTTTTGTACTTCTGTATTGTATTGTGCTGTCTGAAAGTATTATTTGTCATAAGAAGAAGAATCATAGGGTAGAACACAGGCATGGGGCCTGTAAGCCTGCTGTCTGAGCCAGCCTCACAGACCAATGAGTTTGCAGTTCTTACAAGACCAGCATCCATTTGGACAAACTTTGTTGTGTCACCAATAAAACTGGATGAGGTTCTCCGTTCATCTTGACTTTTTGTCCTGAAAGCTTGCCTTTGATCTAGAGGGAATTCATTCTAATTTTACACCTGCCAAGTGGCACAGATTGTTGGGTCTGTGTTCAGAGTGCTCTTGAAACATAAAGAGAACAAACATCACTTTCAACAAACCACTGCCAGCTCTCCTGGGGTTGTCTAAGCCTAAAACTTCTTCCTCTCCAGGAAAAACAGCTGCTTCATTATGTGTATTCTCATTACAATCCTAATTCCGGTGGCTGGCTCCCTAAATGGCATAACTTCAGCAATGAGGATTTGGGCCCTCATTGGCCACTCTGGGGAACATTTGCCTTGAATATATTCTTTATTTGATAGGCACCTTTGAAAAGAAAGGGAATGAAGATTTCTGAGGCCAAATGGGCAGCTGTGTTTGACTGGTATGCAGAGGCCTCCAAAGGAAATTCTGGTTCAAAAATAATTTCAGTAAAAGATTCTTTGGCCAAAGCCAATGAGCAACATAAGAAACTTAAGCAACGACAAACTAGATTCCTTTCCTAGTAAGTCCTCCCCATCCTTGTGCTCCAGTTGCTCCCCCAATATCCAGATGTCCCTCTTCCTCCTTAACCTTCTGATCTCATCAACTCTTCCCTTCTCTTCCTCATGTCCAGACCCCCTACCTATTCCCAACAACTTTCCTAAGACTACAATATGCCGGTTCCCTCTGAAGATCTAGCCCTCCTTTGAGCCAGATCTATGGGCAACTATACAATGTAAACTTTGGACCCAAGATGAATTAAGAGCTGTAATTAAGAATCTCCCTACTCCCATACAAGACCAGCAACTGTTCATAGAAGGCTTTTAAATTCTTTCGTGTGTATGTGATTCAGGATTATCTAACCTATATCAACTTGTACATGTGTTGGTCAGAATCTCAGCTAAACCCTGGGTGGCAAAGCTGATTGGACTGACCCAGAAAGGGGGCGACAGGATCTCTCTTTCCATAATAAACCTCTCCAAAAAAGGACCCAAAGAAAAAGATTTGAAAAGCAGGGCAAAGTGTCTTAAAAGTAGTATCCCCAAACATTTCTAATGAAGTTATTGGACCATAATTTAATCATACAAACAGAAAATGATAAAAATATAGAGAGTTTCACGATCTCCTAGGAAATACCTTCTGACAACATTTGGGAATTAAAGAAGGTGCCTTTCATCTCATTTTGTCAATGGAGTTAAATGTGTAACTGGAAGCCTAATTCAAAGTGGGGTAGTCATTAGAATGGAAATTAGACCCTCTGCCTGAACTAAAACACCTATCAGAACAGTCTGAACAGTAACAATGAGACAGAATCCAAGATAAACTGTGATCTTGCAGACTCAACAGCCAAGTGGCCCTCTCCCCAGCAACTAATTTTGACAAGGTAGATGTTATAGATAAAAAGGATGCTGTAAAAAAAGAATATCCCATCTTATTAAAAAACAAAAACAAAACAAAAACAGAAAACCAAGACAAAGAAATTCCTTCAATTCTGATTAACAGTGGTGTTCTGAAAAAGGAAAACACTTTCAATATCATGACTTACCCTCTAATACTCAAGTTGAATAAATACAGATGGTCAGTGTAATCGATTCTCGGGAGATAGGGATGTTACCCTTACTACATTAAACCCCATTATCTTTGCTCAACCTCTTCCTCAGAGTAAGCATGTACACAAGTGTAAGTCCTTTCAAACAACCCACAGATTTTTTCCTATCTCCTAGCCCTTAAGTGTTAACATGAGCCCTTAATAAAAAACCATTCCATCCTGCTCTGTGATACCACCCCTGCAAATTTAATAGGGGGAGACTTACTTTGCAAATGGAATTCTAATATTAAACACACAACAGAAAGACTATTTTTTTAAAGTTCCAGAGGACTCCTCTATTCATAATCAAGTTGTGTCTGTTCTGGATATACCTTTGCCTTCTCCATTATATTTGATGCATACCCCAGATAAAGGTCTTGACATCATCCATGACATTCTATGACTTCAAACGTCCACTGACATAGAAAATCTAATCAGAACAGTAAATAGATCCTACCAAACTATTACCCAGACACCCCCAATATCCCTTGAAGCCAGAGGCAAAGAAGTGGTTCAAAGCTATAATTGAATGCCTTATATCCAAAGGTCTTCTCACATTCTGGACTAGCCTTTGTAAGACTCTGATCTTGCCAGTAAAGAAACCAAATGGATAAGGATAGCAATGTTTTCAAGACCTCAGGACAATGAACAAAATTTTTGTCCTTCACTTCCCATTGGTACCTAACCCAAATACCATCTTGGCATCAATTCTTCCTGAAGCTACTTGCTTCACTGTAGTGAACCTTTGCTCTGTGTTTTTTGATGTGCCTCTAGCCCATATCTAGGGCAGTCAGTACCTTTTAGCCTTCACTTGAGGAGGATAACAGTATACCCGGACAGTCATGCCCCAGGGATTCAGTGAAGCCCTCTCCTCTTTTTTTCAGTTCCTGAAACAAGTCTTAACAGATCTAAATTTCCCTTGTAATTGAGTTCTGATACAATGTGTAGATGGCGTCCTACTTTAGTTAAAGCATAAGAAAGCTTGTAAAGAGGATTCCATTTACTTGCTCTCAGCTTTAGAAGAAAAGGGACGTGAGGTTTCATCAGATAAATTGCAGTTTTTCCAAAGCACAGCCCATTATTTAGGTCACGGACTATCTAAGGAGGGAAAAGTGCTACCTCTTGACAGGCTGAAGACTATCCAGACTTACATTAGACCTCTCACCACATAACAGGATTTCTAGGTTTAACTGGATATTGCAAACAAATTTTTCTAGGATTGCAATGCCTCTTTATGAGTTGACTAAGTTCCCAGTAAGAGACCATCTCTTCTAGGAACCCAAATATGGAACAGACCCTCTATAACCTGAAGAAAGTTCTTCAGTAGCTTCATTAACTGGGCATTCCTAACTACAAAAACCTCTTTGGTCTATATGTGCATATGTGATCTGGACAAGCCGTTGGAGTTTTAACTCAGCGGCATGGGAACCATCAAATACCTATTGCTTACTATAGCCATACCCTCAGCCTGGTTGCAAAGGTGTATCCCCCATGTCTTATAGCAATAGTTGCTGGAAAGAAAGAAAGAAAGAGACAGAGAGAGAGGGAGAGAGAAAGAAAGAGAGAAAGAAAGAAAGGAAAAAGAGAGGAAGGAAGGAAGAAAAAAGAGCGGAAGGAAGGAAGAAAGAAAGGAAGAGAAGAAAAACGTTGATGCTTCTATTGAACTAGTTTTAGTCTCCCTACTTGACCTTGACCTCTGGTTCCTCATACAGGACAGACATTACTGCTGGCTGAGAACATGTAACACTTTTCAGCCAGCTGATTAAGTGCCTATGATGTTGTTACTCTTATACTCTCACATTACTTTCTGTTCACCACTGCAGCACTGAATCTTGCCACTCTAGCAGAGGAAGGTGAACCTCAGGATTGTCTTACCTTTGCTAGGGAACATTCTGTACCTCTTCCAAGTGCATTAGAAAGTCACACTGAGAACTGTAATCTAATATAATTTGTTGATAGCTCATATCACAAAACTGAAACTGGAGATTATCAAGCAGGATATACTATCAGTAATTTAAACTCTCTTTTGGAATATAGCTATTCTGCTCCAAAACCAATAACCCCAGTATAACCATGAGAAATTATCAGGCAAACCCCAGTTGAGGAACATTCTAGAAAATACCTGACCAGTACTCCTCAAAACTGTTACAATCGTGGAAAAAAAATAAAATCTGAGAAATTGCTGTAGGACAAAGGAAACTGAGGAGATAACGATAACTGAATGGATTGTGGTTTCCTGGATTGAGTCCTGGAACAGAAAGAGGACATTTGTGAGAAAAACCAGAGAAATCCAAATAAAAGTCTGAAGTATGCTCAACAGTATGTGTCGACATTGGTTTATCAGATTTGACAAATGTATTACGGTAATATAAGATATTAACATTAGAAGAAGCTAGGTGAAGGATACATGGAACACTTTCTATCTCTATATATCTAAAATTATTTCAAAGATAAAAAGTTTATTTTTTAAAAAAATGAAGGAGATATTTTCAGACAAAAACAGAAAATTTTCAACAACAGAACACTACTAAAGGAGATGCTAAAGAGTATCCTTAAGGCAAAAATTACAAGGTTCTGGATGAGATATCAAAGATGCAAGAAGGGATAAGGAGCAACAAAAATGAGAAGTAAATATATGGATGAATCTAGGTTAATATTATCTATATAAAGAAATATAGGAATGTGTTGAGGAATTCAACTATATAGAGAACTAAAGTACATGGTTGATATTTAAGTAGGGAGGAGCTAAACAGAATAAACAGAGTTAAAGTGTTCTGAGGGTTTTGTAATCATAGAGTGGCCCATGAACTTACCAGAAAGCAGAATCTTGGCCCTCACCCCAGACTTACTAAATAAGAATTTTCATTTTAAGAAGACCCCTTATTCATATACACATTAAGATTTAAGAAATGCTGTTACAAAGGGAATAAAAGTACCCATTGATATTAGATTTTTGGAAATCTAGAATTTACTTTATAATCTCCAGGGTAACCTATAAAGGATCCAAACAGTTGGGTAATTTCCAATCTAACATGTGGGAAAGTGGGATAATAA